CATGATCAGAGGTCAGGAAAACAGATCTTACGATGACAGGCTGAGAGCTATAGGGCTCTTTAGCCTGGAAAAGCGCAGGCTCAGGAGTGATCCGATGGCCACCTATAAGTTTATCAGGGGTGACCACCAGGATCTGGGGGAACATTTGTTCACCAGAGCACCCCAAGGGATGACGAGGTCGAATGGTTATAAAGTCCTGCAAGACCGTTTCAGGTTGAACATAAGGAAGAGTTTCTTTACTGTCCAAGCCCCCAAGGTCTGGAACAGCCTGCCACTGAAGGTGGTTCAAGCACCTACATTGAACACCTTCAAGAGCAAATTGGATGCTTATCTTGCTGGGATCCTATGACCCCAGCTGACTTCCTGCCCTTCGGGCAGGGGGCTGGACTCAATGATCTTCCAAGGTCCCTTCCAGCCCTAATGTCTATGAAATCTATGAAATCTTGGTAGAAATCAGGTGTTACTGCTCTTGAAATCATAAATATTACATGCAAAAGTGGCATGAAGTAAGGCTTCATGGCCCTGCAATCTCTCTTAAAATATAAAGGCATTTTTAGCATTAGCATTTTGGGTACACCAAGATATAAGCCCCTCTCTACATTTCCCTAGAAACCCACTCCCAAACTCAGCTGGCTTTGGTTCACACCAGTGGAAGGTATGGCCCTTTGCATCTTATCCTTTCATTAAGCAAGCAATGAAAATGGCAAACACACATATATGAGGCACTTGCATGGCTTTCCATCTGGAATTGTGATTGCTTTTCTTTTGAAGGACATCACCAGAAGAAGAGTTTCCCAGAATGAGGCTACACACTTCTCAGCAAGTATACTAGCAGCTGTGTAATATTAAGTAAAGGTATTAAGACTAGAAAGTAGGTTTTGAGACTGATTCTTACAACTGACATCATGTTTACTTCTAACCTTGGCTTCTTATTCATGTTGACACCACATTTTGAACCTGATTCTGTGAGATGATGAGCATCATCCTGTAAGGTGATGATGCAGAGTATTCAGCCCTCAACTCTGGCCTACTTCAACCTACTACTTTTGGTATGAGGGGCATGTGGTGGATGACATGAGGAAGGTAAATGCAACAGAAAAGGTTAAGAGAAAGGGTAGGTTTTCATATTCAAGAAATCCATTCCAGTAAGCCTTTAGTCTGAGGCTGCCCAACTTTCAGCAGGGGCTATACCAGTGTGGGCCATGCCCACCCTGGGCCACAAACAACCTGGGTGCACCTCTGAGACATACCCCACACCACTATTCTCAACCACACATCCAGATGGTTCTTTCTCCTCCTCTTACCACAGTAGCATATTGCACCATATGCAGAGGCTCCCCCTGCTGCTGCACTGCATGCCATAATCCCCCTTGCACAGTGCCACGTGTGTATGCACCAAGGCCCCTTCTTCAGCTCCCTAAGCTGTGGAATGCATTGCCTTGGCTTGCCATGCCCAGGGGCCAGGGCAGAAAAAAGCTAGAGAAGGGAACTGGAGCCTGGAGACTTTAGCTATTGCTATCACTGGAATGATGGAGGGGGGGAGTGGTGGCTGGGTGGGAGCCCAGGGGCCACCAGTTGGACAGTCCTACTTTAGTCATTGGTTAGATTCAAGTTTGCTTCTGTTTAAATAACTCTGACAAGATAAAGTTACATTTAGATCTTGGTATGGCCACTGAGGGGAAACTTTAGGAGGAGGAGGACTAAAGTACCACCAAGGAAGCTCTGTGATGGACAAGGACCCCATCGTGGCAGACACCAAAGAAATACATATTTGTCCAGATCCTTCAGCTGTCCATTTTCAGACCATCAAATGTTTGGAGTTTTAAAAGACAGTATTTTTTAAAAGCAAGTTTCATGTTATTTTGGATATTTACTGAACTGCTAGGACACACGCTTCTAGCCTGACCTCTCTTTTTTCTAACAATATTTTGTTTTTCTACTACATGGAGCACTTGTACAGGTCACAGCACAGCACTTACCTGTGTCATAGTTCACGATCAGGTCCTTGGAGTGGTTACCTATTTTCTGAGGCTGAAACTCCACCATTAGCTGCATGGTTTCCCCTATCCCTAGAGTCCCAATGGAGGGTTCCACAGAGAAAGGGCTGCAGCAACAAAACAGACACATCAAGACTAAATTAGAAACACCCTTTTGTAGGTAACAAACACATGTTCTAAGTTCCAGGCCTGGTTCTGCTCACTTACACCTATGTACATTAAGACTAACTCTGCCGTAATCAGAGTAGTTAAATCAGGGCATATATGATCCGAATCAGATCCAATGACCCCAACTTTCTGATAAAAACACGGATATCAAATGAGTCTTGAAATTGGCCTATACATCAGATTTATTCCTTCTCTGCTATTCCTTTATACATTTCTATTTATAGGGAATGATTCTGTGACTATTCGGTTTCTAGAGTGGTTCTGGAACCAAGTTCACAAACCCAGTTCTGTTAGTTACTGTAAGCAGGAAGTTAGTAAACATAATTGCAGAATTGCTTTTGAAGAACACAATGATCATAACAGCACTTAGCATTAGAAACAACACTCTGAATGAGAAGTTGTTGACTTTTTTTCACCTGATGTTTCAGTCTATAAATATTTCTGCAAAAAGAAATTATCATTAATTATTTGCTAAGTGCTAACAAGTTCTGTGGCATGCAAAAGACAGAAATATCAAGATACTCCATATTTCCATTTTTTCATGATAAAAAATGTCCTTTTATATGTAAAAAGGGTTGTATTTTATTGGTATATCAGTGACAGTTGTTTCTAGGAAGCAATGGAGCAATCAGAAAGACTCTGAATCAATGCAAATGAAAATTATAGTTAGTGTGGTGCCCTGATATGTAAATACACTACACAAGAAAAAGGAGTACCTCATTTATAGCCTGAACAATTAAGATGCTAAGCAACTGAAGTGCAATGAACAGGAGCATTTCACTATAAGTGAATTTAATAGAGATTTTCTATTTAAGCTCAAATTATACAGGTTATAATTCTGGATAGCAGGACTCTGGAACACTTAGTAATAGAGTTCATAAAAAATGCTTGCCATGTTTAAGAAAAGTACCCACACTGGTTTTAAGTTCTTTGCAATGTGTTAGAAGTCATTGTGAGAATGTATCAGTGCCCCTGGAATCTGATAGAAAATGTTGATTGGAGCGGGATACAGCAAGGGATTCCTGGCTGACTGAATGGAAAGATCAATATTTGTATGTCTTGCAGTAGCTTCCTAAACAGATCATGTGACATGCATATCTGGGCAATAGCAGTTTGGCTTAAGAGATGTTACGCAGCACCCACTGGAAAGTAGGGCTGTGCAAAGCTTCAGTCACTGATTAGATTCAGCAGAGATTTGATCGGATTCGGTGGCCAAATCTCCAAATCCAAATTGAATTAGAGGACCCTTTAATCTCTCCGAATTGAATTGGAACCCTCCAAATCAATTTGGAAAGATTTGGTAATTCAGACACAGAAAAAACATTTAAAGCTGTGCCTACATACCTCTAGGTAGCAAGCAGCTTGTGAATGCTGCAATGCTGGGGTGGATGGAGTGTCCCCCAGAAGCACTTCCAGTCTGCTTCTGGATCCACCAGGGAGTGTGCAGGCCCCCTCCCTCCCCCCGTGCTCCCCTGGCTTGGTAACTAGTGCCTTCTGGGTCTGGGCAGGGGCACCTGGGGTCCCCCAACAGCCAATTGCTGAGCCAAGGGGGTGGGGCCCCCAGCTTGCTTCCCAGTAGACCCGAAAGTGAATCAGAAGTATTTCTGGGTTTGCTGCCAAGCATGTTGGGGGTGGAATGCTCCTGTGGGATGCTCCATGCGCCCCAGCACCACAGCATTTGCAAGCTGTTCTGAAAAAACATTTAAAGCTGTGTCTGTGTCCGAATCAGCATCGAATCTTCAGATTCAGGTTCAGCTGAATTGAATTTTTGACCTGGAGGGATGTGGGCAGTGGGGTCCCCCAGGGCTTGGTCCTCAGGCCCACACTGTTCAACATCTTCATCAGTGACTTGGACAAGGGGGTAAAAAGTACCTTGTTCAAATTTGCCAATGACACCAAGATGTGGGGGGAAGTGGGCATGTTAGAAGGAAGGAATAGGCTACAACTGGACCTAGACAGGTTACAGGGGTGGGTGGATGAGAATAGGATGGGATTCAACACTGACAAGTGCAAGGTACTGCACCTGGGGAGGAAGAACCAGCACCTTACCTACAGGCCGGGGAACTCCCTTCCCTTCAGTGCAGAGGCAGAAAAGGATCTCGGAGTCAGCATTGATGCCAAGATGAATATGGGCAGGCAGTGTGGGGATGCCGTCAGGAAGGCCAACTGTACCTTGTCATGCATCCACAGATGCATCTCAAGCAGGTCCAAGGAGGTGATAACTCCCCCTCTATGCGGCACTGGTCAGGCCGCAGTTGGAGTACTGCATCCAGTTCTGGGCGCCGCACGTCAGGAGGGATGTGGACAACATGGAGAGGGTCCAGAGGAGGGCCACTTGCATGACCAGGGGGCAGCAGGGCAGGCCCTACGAGGAGAGGCTAAGGGACCTGAACCTGTTCAGCCTCCACAAGAGAAGGCTGAGGGGGGATCTAGTGGCCTGTTACAACCTAGCCAGGGGGGACCAGCAGGCAATTGGGGGAGTCCCTGTTCCCCTAAGCACTACCAGGAGTGACTAGAAATAATGGTCACAAGCTGGCAGAGGGTAAATTCAGACTAGACATCAGGAGGCGCTACTTCACTGTCAGGGCGGCTAGGATCTGGAACCCACTTCCAAGTGAAGTGGTGCTGGCTCCTACCCTGGGGGTCTTTAAGACTCGGCTTGACAATTACCTTGCTGGGGTCGTTTGACCCCAGTACTCTTTCCTGCCATGGCATGGGGTCGGACTTGATGATCTGCTCAGGTCCTTTCTGACCCTACTAACTCTGAAACTATGAATTGGGGACAGTGATCTGAATCAACGAATCTGAATCCAAATTGAATAGGGCCCATTTTGCGCACCTCTACTGGAAAGCCAAAGTTTTCATTTGTTTCTTTACAAAGCTTAGCTTGTGGTTAAATAATCACCCTAAAGAACACAGTCTGTCTTATGGTATTGTGTTTCTGAAATGCGGTCCACATATAAAAATAATGAGAACAACTGGGTCATGCACAAGCTGAGCTTTATTCATATGAGCACTATGAAAGCCAATGAAATTGCTCAAGTTTTTGCTCATTAAGGATATGTTACTGCAATTAGGAGCCTGACCCTGTTCCCATTACCATCAGTGACAGCTTTGCTGCTGACTTTAATGGGAAAAAGATTGGGCCCAAAGTGATTACATGAAGGTTCTTAGATCTGTTTGTTTTGGGAAAGCAGCACTGGGCACTATGGCCCTCAATATCTGTAGACTTTGATTGCTATGTGGTGTAATTCACCTGCATTCTGCTTGCCAAGCTTGGAGCTCTGTAAATAACTACTGCCAGTTAAGTCTGTCTGCAGTTCCCCAATAATCATCCTTTAATGTGATGGAAGTAGTTGAATACCAGTGATTAGGCCTCGGTTAAAATACAGGTTTGCTCTTCCCTAAGCCAAAGGCAGACAAGTAATTTCACTGACGCTGAGCTGTGAAAGCCAGAAAGTATCAAATTGCATGAATTAATTGGTCCCATACAGCTAAAAGGAAAAAAAAATCCTCTCTCAAGGGTATGCAGTTTACCTCAACTGCCAAAAGCATTCAGATCGCTTACTCTGTCCCTATTAATGGTGTGGACCTGATATGGAAAGGCTGAGCTTATTATAGTATTCCTGATAGTTTCCCCCACATCTCAATAACTGCATGCCTTGAAGGTAGTCTGACATGTGTCACAGGGTTACTCGATCAAAGGAAAGGAGTGTTTCCTCCCCTTTTTACAAAAAACAAAAAAAAGTTTTCAGAAAGGTGATCCTGATTTCAGTCCACTAACAACTCCCACCTTTTTATGCTAGAGACTACAACACATTTACTGCTTTTCTATTTGGTTTGGTGATACTCCTTGCAGTTTTAGGTTAGCCATTAGGAGATATTTATGAGGGGACCAATCTTCATTATCAAATTCTTCTTTGTGGTATGGTAGAGGTTCCAACCAAGATCACAGTGCTAGATTCTGTATAGACATGCAAATGAGAGATAATCTGCAACCTAAAGAGTATACAATCTAAAAAGACAAGGCAAACAAAAGGAACTGGAAGTACAGAGAGGAAAAGTGACTTTCCCAAGTCCACAAAGCAGATCAGTAGCAGAGGCAGGAGTAGAATCCATTTGTTTTATATCCCCTATGCCCTACCTACTAGACTCTTCTTTCTACTTCCCCTTTCTTCTGGGAGCTTGAGGACATTACCTCTGACTGGACTCCCTAGGGCTGGGGAATGGAAGGCCTATATCCCTAGACTTAAGTCAGCTCACAAGGGAAATAAACTAAATAATGGCACAGACTATGGATAGACAATTGCAGCAGGGAATGTATTTCAATGGCTAAATGAAAATGAAAAATCCACCAGCATGAGGTGAAACTGCCAGACTAAACTTTGACCTTTAGTTCATTAATTGTGCTGGTTCCAGATCTGTTCTTTTAAGTAATCATCAGGACCCTAAACAGAGAAAACATGCAGCATAGGTTTCCTTCTTAACATACTTTTCTTACATCTGGTTTACTTAAATCCTCCCTTACTACTGGTTCTTACATATTTGGCTCTCTGGTTTGTTCATAAAATTCCATTTGTGATCTGTTATCTCCATCTTGCCTGCCAAAGTTTCAAAGCCTGTACTGAGTCAGTAGTAAGCATACATTTGGATCTTCAGCTTGAGTAAATGAACCTGGCCCTAGTAGCTTTAATCGAACTGCACTGATTTATTCCAGCTGAGAATCTAGCCCACTGTTTCTACACTAGAAGGAGATCCATATGGAATTTATCTGTTTTGTTGTGATGCCAAACCCCAAAAATCACTGTCACAAACTTGGAATTGTGACTGACAAAAGTGAATGGAATTGGCAACTTCAAATTAATTTATTGAGGCCTTTACTCTAAATCATCAGTATCTGTCCAATTATAAGATGTATGTATGTATAAGAGCTCCAATA